TGTTAATTTCAATATATTTATGATATTATTAAAAACTGTTAATTAACTTGATAATTTGTTAATAAAATGGTCATTTATTATGCAATTAGAAAGCTGCAGAGACATGATGTAATTTTTAAAATTACAAAAGATAATTTATATTTTAAGCAAAATTTAAAGGGTCTATTTGTAATTTACCCAATCTAGTTTTATGAATACAAAGCTCAACAAAAGAACTATGAAATTTATCTATGTTCTCCTGTTTGAACCTTGGACACATCCTCGTAATTAGAGGTGGCAAATGGGCGGTATAAGTGGGTTAAAATAAGTTATGCATTTAAAGCAATCTAACCAAACCCGTTCATTTAATAAATGGGCTCAAACAGGTTGAGTTAAATTAGATACGGGTTAGACGAATGAATCCAATAAACTCATTTACTTCCTCGCTTTTATTTTTCTATTTTTCTTTTTAAAAAAAATTATTTTAAGAGAAAATTATTAGAAAGTCCAATCTAAATAGGTATAAGGCATTAGGTTTAGTGGATATCTTTTGTTGGCGAGAGATTCACAATTTATGAAATAATTTGATGAGAAATCCTTTTATTGTTTTGGAAGGCATTTCATTTCCAATTTTACCCCTTATCTATCTGTTTAATTTTTTTTGACTATTTGTTCAAATATTTTTTTATATGTTTAATTTTTTATATTTGTTCAATTTTTTGCCCTTATCTATTCAAATATCTATCCACATTTTTTTATCTGTTAAAATTATCTTTTCAAAAAATTCTATCGGTTGAAATTCCTATCTGTTGAGATTCTATTTGTTCAAATTATCTTTTTAAAAAATTCTTTCTGTTGAAATTATTTGTTAAAAAAATTATCTGTTCAAATTCTCCCTATCTCTCTTCCCACTATTTGTACAAATAAAATTCAAATTCAACAGCAACAACAATAATTTTTTTTATCCGTTCACTGATTAAAGAACACAAGACCAAATTGAAAACTATTTGTTCACTTCAAACATATCTGTGTTTGTGATATGTTCAATATTATCTTCTTCATAGCACAAACAAAAAAAGAAAAAAAAAACAAATTTAAACAGATATAATTACAACAACAACAACAACCAGGATAAAAAAATAACAAAAAAATTAAATATAAGATAAAAAAAAATTAAATAGTTATTTATCCCTTGCAACAGGTTTGAGTCAATAACAAATTTTAAACAATCCATTTTAACAGATCTAAGTCTCCCAAGATCAAAGCTCCAATTTTGAACATCCATTTTAAAATATCAGATCTTAGTCAACCAAGATCAAATATTAGATCTTAGTCTCAGATCAAAATATCAGACACATACAAACAAACAAATTTGTGCTATGTACCATCAAACCCTAGATTTCTCACCAGGAAATCATTTTTCTAATCTTGTGTATTGGACTCAAATAGAAATACTTGAATGTTCTTTGTTATTTGCAAACCCAAGATTTCTTACCATGAAATAAGAAAATTATTCGAAAGGAGAGAGAGAGAGAGAGAGAGAGAGAGAGAGACTTCATTTTTATACTTTTGTTGTGTGTTGCACACTCTCTTTTCAATAGATAACAATGATGTGGTCAGCGACGGTGGATGACGGTGGACAACAGATGAGGGCAACGAAAGAGAAGGGTGTGAGGTCTGAGATTTGAGAAGACTGAGAGAGAAAGATCTGAGATCTAAGATCTAAATGAGAGAGAGAGAGAGAGGAATAGTTGTAGAGAGATGGGATACAATATATATATACATGGGTATTTTGGTCATCGTCTAGACATGTCTTTTTTGCCAAAGTATTTTAGAGTGTGCACTTTTGGCCAAACAAAATTAAAATTTGGATTTATAGATCAAGTGCCCTTATTTTAAACAAATTAATTTTATTTTTTTATTTAAAAAGCTACTTATTTTTTTAAAATAAATTATTTTTTATTTTTAAATTATTTTTTTACGACGACAAAGGGGGTGTCGGAGCACAAGTGGTGGTGGTAGAGTAGTGGTGGTGGTGATGGTAATGGTGATGGTGTAGCGATGGTGGCGGAAATGGTGGTGGCGGTAGTAGTGGAGGAGGAGGTGGTGTTGGTGGTGTGTTGACGGCGGTAGTGGAGTGGCAGGAGTGGTGGTGGTGGTGGAGTGGTGGTAGTAGAGGATGAAGAGATGGTGGTCATGGTAGTGGTGGTGGAGTAATAAAGGTAGTGGTGGAGTAGTAGTGTAGAGGAGGTGGTGATGGAGTGGCAAGGGTGATTGAGTGGGGGTAGGGGTGGTGTGTCGGCGTTGGCAGCGACGGATTAACGGTGATAGTAAAGAGGGTGGTGGTGGTGGAGTGGTGATGCTAGTGAAGTGGTAGTAGTGAAGGTGGATTGGTGGTAGAAGTGGTGCCCATTTAAATCTGCTTAAATGGGTACCCATGTCCAATCCATGTAAACCCAATTTTAATTGGGTTGACAATGAGCAACCCATTTAAGAGGTGGTGGAGGTGAAGTGGTGATGGTGGTTATGCTAGTGAAGTGGCAGTAGTGGAGGTGGGTTGGTGGTAGAAGTGGTGCCCATTTAGATCGGCTTAAATGGGTATCCATGTCCAACCCTTGTAAACTCAATTTTAATTGGTTTGACAATGACCAACCCGTTTAAGCTTATTTATTGATTGTGCATGTCTATTTAAGTTTTAAATGAGTATAATTGATAGGCTCATCATGGGTTTGGGTTGAGTTTGCTACATCTACTTGTAATCAATTCTCATATTTGAGTGGGTGATTCTATTTGCACTTAAAAAATTATTCAGTATGTCCAATTTCTCAATACTCTCTATTAAATTATTTAGGGTAATAATTTACTCTCAGTACACTCTATATTTTTTCACAAATTATCCTTCAGGATGATAACATAATTTGTGATACACTCAAATAATAAACAAATCAATTCAAAAAAGACTTCCTCCCTTTCTTCATCTCTTCTTAGCTATGGTACTCCTCCACTCTCGTCATTGACAAATACTGAAAAAGAAGAAGATGAAAAGTAGGTACGAAGAATAGAGGCAATACAAACCCACGAAGTCACTACTTGCCTTCGTACTACCTAGATTCAATAGAGACGATGTGGACTTTGTTGGTTCCACTGATTGTGGTGGCTAACGTGGGTATGTTCGTTCCTATGTTCGTCAACAATTGCCTTAAAAATAATTTTGGTTTTGAAGGGTGTTGTGTTTCCAAATTTCCCGATAGATTCTCATTCGAGCTTCTCAGGGAAAACCCTCTCTTTGGCCTTTCTTCTTCTATGTAATGTTTGCTTACCTACCCATTTTGGAAAACTGTGTTAATTGTTGTTATTTTGAATCTGGTTTTGAGTTTGATTCATTGATATATTCATTAACTTTTGTTGAAATTTCTGGTTAAGAAAATCCATTCCAATTGCAGATTGAAGAGAGAAGATTTGTAGAGACATAAAGTGGAGAAGGAGATTGGAGAGAGATAGAAGGTTTGTGAGTTTGTAGAGAGAGAGAGAGGAGTAGAAACAATAATGTTGATGATAATGGTGAGTTTTTGTAGGGTGGATTAGAGTTTTGGAGTGAAGAAAAAGATGAAGGGAGAATAATTGAAACTTAAGGAAGAAGACGAAAATGTTTGAATATGAAAATACATATAAGCGATTAGGGTATATCATGAGAAAAAAAAAAAAAAAAGAGTTTAATGTGCATCCTGATTAGTAAATTTATATTAAGGTATATATACTCTAATAGAAAATTTGAAATTTTAGTTTCTATTATATAATTGTTAGAAATTGGGCGCCCATGTGGCATGACCCTTAGAACCTTTTGAACCTCATCCAAATGGGTTTTTGAATTTAAATTCAAACCTATTTGGATGAGCCACTCAGGATATATATCTATCATATCATGATATGGATAGATGATATAGATATCAGATATTATCTCATTTAACCAATGGATAAATGAGATAAATATAATATATATCTGATATATGGTTATGGGTAACCAAGAGAGAAAAATAACGTAGGTTTTGTTTTCTACCCATAAACTGACTCTCTCCCAAGAAACAACGATCAAGTCAATTGCACTGTGGTTTGTGTGGGTGATATTCACCATTGTAATATCACCCCACTGCTGGGATTAATTTATCAGACTCTGGAAGCACGTGATTTATCCACGAGGTTCTATCATCGTAAGGTATGATATGATTATTTTATCCGCTGCATAATTGTTTGTTTTTATTTACAATAATAAAAACTAAAATTTCAAAATTTGGATGTAAATAAAATCACCTTATAAAAACAAAATCACCTTATTTGACTCTATGTAGAATAAATTTATAAAAACAAAAAGAAAAAAAAAAAGAAAAAAGGCAGATCACACCTCTTTTCATTCAAATATTTTATGCATATAATACAGGTATCTAAACATTAATAAACGGTGGTCTATGAAGATTGGCTACTTCTAAAGGTGAACTATGAAGATTTCCAAAGTCACCAGAATTTTTTTTGCAGCGAATCAATTATCAAGATGATCTGGATGTATAGCATAAATTGAAGAAAACAAAATTGTAATAATCTACTTAATCTATTTGGCAAAATATATCAAGATTGACCAATAGAAAATCCAATCATATAGTTTATTTTAGTAAAAAACTAGCTTTTGAAACCAACTGCATTAACATTAGCAACGGTTTAATAGCTAATCAGAGCAAAACATATTTTCTATTTTGGTTCTGGCTGTGGTCAATGAAACAATTCTATATGTATAACTGCTGGTTCTTGAGTGAATTGCTCATAGTGTTACTCTTGCACAAAAAGAACTGTGTCTGCATTAGGCAGGATCCCAAGCAGAATATATATAATAACCTTTTACTTATTCTGTAGTTAGATCGTAAACTTTAAAGATATAGAACCAGAAAAAAGCAACAAGTACCAGAGAGTATAATACAATCATAATAACTAACAAATTAAAATCATTAAAACTAAGAATAAGCATCACATACCTGAAAGCATAATCCATGTTTGCTAATTTCTTCTGCCACCTTGTCTCAACATTTTCAGCATTTTATGCTTTTTCCTTTCAACAATTCTTACAAACAATTTTGGTTTTCCAGTTAAGAACATGAGAAATCCAATAACCAATCCCAATGCCAGTCCACAGCCATACCCCATCACCACGGCTTCCCAAGTCAATCCACTTACAAAATTTGAGTCATCTTCCTGTTGTAATAGCACCCCTGGCTGAACTTGTGACTGATTATCTTTACGTTCTTTTGACAATGGAAACCCATATAATCCTGAGTTCCCAACATATGAATCATTTCCAAATGTATCAAATTGTTTGCCTTGAGGTATGAGTCCATTGAGATGGTTCCATGAAACGTTAAAGACCTCCAGAAATGTCAAACTCAGTAAATGGCTAGGAATTTTCCCAATAAGCTGGTTTGAAGACAAATCTAGTGATTCCAGCTCTGTCAAGTCTCCTAAAGATGATGGAATAAGGCCCGTAAGGCTATTATGAGATAAATTAAGCACTATGAGAGAATTAAGCCTTCCGATCACATTTGGAATATCTCCACTGAATTTGTTAGATGATAAATCAATTGCTGTGAAAATAGTCAAAATTCTCGTGAAATACATATCAAACCCCTTCATCGTCATCGTCACCGTAACAGAATCCTTATAATATGATTGAACATTATAATACGATTGAACAGTCAAATATTTTTCACTTGGCATAGTTTTATTCCTCATATTTTTGAAAAAATTGAAATATCTCCCTGGCAAATGACCAGTGAACTTATTGTGGGAGAGGTCAACAATTCGGAGTTTAGGGAAATAGAGTTTTGGCTTGGAAGTGTCTATTGGACCGTGAAATTTGTTGGATCGCAAGATAAGAACTTGTAAATTTGGAAGAGTCCCCAACCAGTACGGAAAAGTGTCATTTATCTTGTTGTTTCCAAGGTCTAGAACTTGTAATTGTCTACAGTTAGCTAAGGATTGTGGAACTGGTCCTTCAAATTGATTTCCATTCAAATTAAGACTTTGCAACTGATTACCCTTTTCAAATATCATGGGGATGTTCCCCTGAAAGGCATTGAACCGCAGATCTAATATAGAGAGAACATTGCTGAAGTTTCCCAAACATTGTGGAATTGCACCACTTAAGTGGTTGTGAGACAAACCAAGGATGTAAAGGGAACTCACATTGCAAATTGAAGAAGGAATCTGTCCGGTGAGTTTATTTTGTGAGAAGTGAAAGTAAGATACAAAGGGTGGCGGAACTGGGAGTGGTCCTTGAATCAAGTTGAAACCAAGATCAAGATAATGAAGATCTTTTAGATTTGAGAATGCTTGTAGCTGTACAACACCACTAAGATTATTTGATGAAAGATCAAGTTGGGTCAAATTCACAAGATTTGAAATTGATTGTGGAATGGGGCCACGTAGTTCATTATGATTCAAGTCAATGTGCATCAATTTTGATTTATGCTGGAACTCAGGAATTTGGCCAGTTAGTCGATTACTACCCAGGTATAAGTCTGTCAATGATGGAAGATTCAACAACGAAGATGGCAGTGTCCCATTCAGTGAGTTATTGTGCAAGAAAAGCGTTTGTAGGTTGTGTAGCCCACTAATGTTGGAGGGAATGGGACCCATTAGTTCACTACTCGATAAAACTAAAGCAACAAGTTTTGTCAGGTTGGCTACCCCACATGGAAATGGACCATTAAAATTGTTATCTCCAAGTCCTAAAAACTCCAGCTTCATCAGCTTGCCGATAAAATTAGGAATTTTTCCATGAAGATTATTCCTAGAAAGATCCAAGGAAATGAGCTGATTAAGATTTGAGAGAGCAAATGGGATCTGACCGTTGAAACTATTTCCCCAGAAGGATATATAATTGATCTGTGTAAGGTTCCCGAGTGATTCAGGAATGGACCCGGAGAATTTGCAACCACGGAGATCCAAGTGAATGAGTTGATTAAGATTTGAGAGAGTAAATGGGATCTGACCGTTGAAACTATTTCCCCCTAAGTATATAGCAGTGATCTGTGTAAGGTTCCCAAATGAATCAGGAATGGACCCGGAGAATTTGGAATTGGCAAGATGCAAGAAATTCAATGACTTGAGATTGCCAATTGAATCAGGTAATTCTCCAGAAAAACTCGAAAACCCAAGATACAACTGCTGGAGGGAACTACTACTACTCCAGTTTACTTTGGGTAAATTACCAGTGAGATCATGGTTGTCTCCTAAAAAGAGAACTTGCAAGTTTGGAAAGTGAAAAATGCTATCCGGTAATTTCCCATACAACCCGGTGGAAATAAGATCGAGATATGTCAAAGAAGACATATTGGTCAAAGACATCGGTACAACTGAAGATATGTTTACATAAGAAAGGGCAAGTTTTTGCAATTGGGTTAGGTTTTTGAGCATCATTCTGAAATTGTGTGGTTCAAGTCTTGGTTGATGACCATAGGAGAGATCGAGTGAAACTAGTTTGGACAGGTGGTGAATTTCTGATGGGATTGAGCCTGAAAAACTGGAACGAGATAGGTTGAGATGTGTCAAACTGGCAAAGTGACCAAATGCTGATGGAATGTGGGAGTAATTGAAGTGATTGAAGGCGAGATTGAGGCGCTGGAGGTGAGAGAGTTGGAAGAGGCTACTGTTAGGATGGATACTACCATAGAGCTGGCTACAACTGAGGTCAAGCCCAATTACGTGACCCGTCAGACCATCACACGTGACTCCTTCCCACGAACAACAATCAGTACAACTCTCGTTCCAAGATAACATCTTTGGAGAAGCCAAATCACCGCAGAAAGAAGAATCAGATGCAGAGCTGTTTATAGTAAACATATGCTTGAATTGCAACAATGCAAACCTCTGGTCAGGTGGACACAAATGATGTGTACAAGTAGAAAAAGAAGAGATAGATGATGAACAAGAAACCTGATGATATTGCATGAAATACAAAAGGAATTGGAACAACCAAATCAATCGCTCCATTTTTTTTTTTTTTTTGGTTTTGTTTTGTTGTAAAGGAGGAGAAACAAGAACGAAGGATTAAGAGAAGAGAAGGATGAGAGGAAGTGGGTACTGATCTATTAGTCTAATTCATTCCTTTATATAGGAAAAATTTTAAGTTAAATTATTAACGAGTCTTAATAGTTGGACTTAATTTTCATTAAATCTTATTGGAAACTAATTCAAATAAAATTATTGCTAAAAATTGATAATTAGTAATATTTTTTTATTATGATTTTTATAAATTGTCGCTTAAACTTACACTTAGTGACATTTCTATGACAAAATTTTCAAACTGTTACTAAAATTTGAAAATTAATGACTTTTTTGTGATGATTTTTTTAAATTATCGCTAAAACTTATATTTAATAATGTTTTTGTAAAAAAAAATTTAAACTCTTGCTAAAAATTAACAATTAATGACTTTTTAAAAGTGTTTGATGAAAAACGTTGTTAATTATCATATGACCTATTAGATAATAAATTCATATAATAAGACGTACACCAAAATTTTATGGTACGTGCTTTGTTAAAAGGTGTGTATTACATGCTGTTATGAGTATTTGTAGTAGAATAATGACTTGGACCTCCTTTTCTTCTCACCCCCTTGACCCCCTCTTCACTTGATTGGCTACTTTTTCTTTCTTTTTTTTTTTTTTATTCATTCTCCTCCAATCACCACCTGCCACGTGTCTGTGGAGGGGGTGGTGGGGGTGGTGATTGGAGGGGGTCTCAATCATCACCCTTTATTGTACACACCTAAGGCTATGTTGCAATCAAAGAAGAGGTGAAATGACCTTTTAACCCCGCCTTTTTGTTATTTTATTTATTTATTTTTCAAATTTCTGACCGAGCCCCTCCTTTCTGACCGAACCCCTCCTTTTTGTTAATTACAAAATTAATAATTACACAACAACACAGAAAATAACTGCATTGATTAACATCTTTTTTTTGCTATTTAATTTTTTAAAGATTCTTTTCACAAATATTCTATTTTTCAACGTATTTATATTAGGTGTATCTAATACTTAAATAAATTGCTTAGAATATTAAAATAATTCAGTGCAAAAAAAAATACGAGAAACTTAAAATTCTAATTTTCTGATAAGTGAATCCTGAAAAATCAAACCAAACAAACTGATTACATTTCACAAATTACAACATAACATTTTCATAAATTAATAGTTTTTTTATTTATTTATGAGAACTTTTTTGGAATACAAAATTGATGAAGTCCAATATTTGATTTATTTTATATATTTTTTGGGAAAAATAGAATTTTGCAAAGAATTTGGTATTGATGTGTTCATGAGTTTTGAATGAAGATTTGAAAAGAGTTTGGAAATATTTACAATTATCAGGGAAGTTGTGAAAATAGTTTCGTAATGAGTTTTGAAAAGACTTTTTTTAAAAAAAAAATTAATACAATTATTACATTTCACAAATTACAACAAAACATTTTCGTCAATGAAATTGTAACAATTTTTTTTTTTTTTGTTCAAAATACAAAATTGGCGAGGTCCAATTTGTACATTTCTTGTTTATAAAATATTTTTACATATTAAAATCGGTGAAGTCCATTATATGAAGTCCAATATTATGTAGCAACAACCCCCTATTTCCCATGCATATAGGTTACATGCTGTTAGCCCTCTACTACACACTTTACCTGGCAGCATGAACTATAACATATAAGAGTTTTAGAGATTAAATGTTTTGGTTTCTAAAAATGAAAATTTTGTTGCAAAAGACATTTAGGAACCAATTTCCATCGTCATAAGGATAGTCGCTAAAAAGTCGTCCCGAAAAGCCAAAAACAAGGCTTTTAGCGACAAAATTTTAAAAATGTCGCTAATAAATAGAATTTTAGGAACAAAATAATTTGATCTCAAAATGGTTTGTTTCTTGAGACAAAAAATTTGGTCCCAAAAGGATAATAATTCATCACTAATGTCCAATTTTCGTTACTAAAAATATAATGACACATTTCACAACAAAAATATTTGGTGCAAAAAAAAAAAAAATTTGTCTCTAAATTTTGGTCTCTAAAACTTTAATTTTTTGTAGTGATGTCAGGTAAATTCACTCTCTCATCAATTGAACAACAAGTCACTTTTGAAGGGAAAAAATGTTAATTTACTATATATTATTTTGTTTCACATCTTTTCGTAAATGTGATGACCGGGAGTCTTGTTAATGATTTGTTTTGTTGTATTTGAAAACTTGTTTCAAATCCTTGCTTTCATTTATTTATGTGTCGAGTTTCACATGTTTCAGAAAGATCGAGGTTGGGTTCGGAGTGGCTAGGGTTGAGTTGAAGAGTTTCCTGGTTGGAAGGGTAGAGCTGCACGTGCGAGGCCTTGGGCCGCACGTGCAGGAATTAGGGGAATTTTTGGGTTGCCTATTGAATTATATGCAGGTGCGAGAGGAGGTGCAGAGTAGGAGCGCTGCACGTGCAGGGGTGAGTGCCACACGTGTGGGAGTCGCTGAGTCTGAAATTTTCTGCTTTTCTCTCTTCTTGGACTATGTGTGTATCACTTTTTACACATCTCTCTCTATAAACACCCCTTTCTTCTCCTTCTCTCTACATTTCCTACATCAAACTTCACTAGATCTTTGATTTCTCCAAAGCCATAAATATTTTGACCTTAGTTTGTTGATTAAAGTTGAAAAACTCCCCGAGGGCTTTGTTTTGTGTGGTGGAGATTGGATTTCAATACTATCGAATTTGAGGGTTTCTTCTCTCTTCTTCACTAAAACTTAAGGTAGGGATTTTCTTAGAGTTATATATATATATATATATATTTGCAAGTTTATGTAAATTTTGAGATTTCCATTAAATGTGGTTTTTTGCTCAAGAATATTGGTGGTTTTGAAAATGGGTTCACCTCTTGTTTTCTTTAAATGATTTTCTTGAAGATTTGAATCACATTGATTTAAGAAAGATGATTTTGGTGAGATTCCACCAAGGGATGAGGAAATGTCTAGTTTTGATGAAAAACCTAGAAATATGGGGGGTTTTGGAAGATGTTGAGAATCTATAGATTTTCTTGTGCTAAATGAATGAATGAGTGGAAATTTCATATTATTGTATACAAAATGATAATTCTTCTTAGCATATGAGAATTAGTGGATTTTTGGAATCTATTGTTTAAGTATATATACATATATATAATCATGAAATGACAAATTGTTGAGAACACATGAGATGTGAAATTGTTGCTACACTTGGATAGTTAATAAATTTCTATGTGATATATGTCGAGATGTATTGGAAAGGGAAGTGGAAATTGTGATCAGAAATGGAACCTTTGTGGGGAAATTTTGTAAATGGTAGGATGTTACATCGCATGGATAATTATCACATTGCATGGTTGATTATTGCATTGCATGGAATATTGTTCCTTTGGCACTTTAATACCTTGCTCGTTATAAATATTGAATTGGGATTTGAAATTTTGCATTGAGAAAGAAATATTGTGAAACGAGAATTATTGAAACGTTTTGGGATAAATACGTTGGTAAGTCTGGATATGAGGTGTAGATGAAATTGATTAAGTTGGCCTGAGTGTCCAGGGTGAAAGACCGAAAACAAGCACGGAGGAGGTACCACGTGCTTTCCGATTAGCTACCGGTGAAGTGGGGATTTGGTAGTTCTAGTTATGCCTACTTGTAGACACCAACCAAGGGATTACCTGAGTCGTATTTACTGCCCTTTGAACTAAATTGAAAATTTCTAAATTGTTGAGATTTTAAGTTATTATTGAGCATGATCATTTTCAAAGAGATGGAAATGTGATTTTCTTTCAATAAGCATAGCATAACATGTGCATTTTATTTTGTGAAGCTTGTATAAAATGTATATACTTTGTTAAGAATTTTCTATTGGGCTTTATGCTCACCCCTATGAGATTTTGGTGCAGGAAAGGACGTGGTGATCCCGCCAAGTTAGGGCGTTGACGTATGTGTTGGGAGCATAGAGCTCTTATTTTTGTTGTGGTATATTTTTGTTAGCCAACGGCTATAATTGTTTAGGTCCGAGAGACCATTTTTGTGTAATCGGGTTTAAGCCTTGGAATTTGTAAGCCCTTGAGGGCACTATGAGAATTAGTGGATTTTTGGAATCTATTGTTTAAGTATATATATATATATATAATCATGAAATGACAAATTGTTGAGAACACATGAGATGTGGAATTGCTGCTACACTTGGATAGTTACTAAATTTCTACGTGATATATGTCGAGATGTAGTGGAAAGGGAAGTGGAAATTGTGATCACAAATGGAACCTTTGTGGGGAAATTTTGTAAATGGTAGGATGTTACATCGCATGGATAATTATCACATTGCATGGTTGATTATTGCATTGCATGGAATATTGTTCCTTTGGCAGTTCAATACCTTGCTTGTTATAAATATTGAATTGGGATTTGAAATTTTGCATTGAGAAAGAAATATTGTGAAACGAGAATTATTGAAACATTTTAGGGTAAATATGTTGGTAAGTCCGGATAGGAGGTGTAGATGAAATCGATTAAGTTGGCCTAAAGTGTCCAGGGTGAAAGACCGAAAACACGCATGGAGGAGGTACCACGTGCCTTCCGGTTAGCTACCGGTGGAGTGGGGATTTGTAGTGCTAGTTATACCTACTTGCAGACACCAACTTAGGGATTACCTGAGTCGTATTTGCCGCCCCTTGAACTAAATTCAAAATTTCTAAATTGTTGAGATTTTAAGTTATTATTGAGCATGATGATTTTCAAAGAGATGAAAATGTGATTTTCTTTCAATGAGCATAGCATAACATGTGCATTTTATTTTGTGAAGTTTGTATAAAATGTATATACTTTGTTAAGAATTTCCTACTGGACTTTATGTTCACCCTTATGGGATTTTGGTGCAGGAAAGGACGTGGTGATCCCGCCAAGTTAGGGTGTGGACGTATGTGTTGGGAGCATAGAGCTCTTATTTTTGTTGTGGTATATTTTTGTTAGCCAAGGGCTATAACTGTTTGGGTCTGAAAGACCATTTTTGTGTAACTGAGTTTAAGC